AAAAAAAAAAAAAAAAAAAGAACTGGGCACAAACGCCACTGCCATTTGTTAACAGGGTTCAGGTCAGTAAGTCTCACTGAAAGCTCTCCTTCTTAATTCTTTTTTTTTTTATTAAGGTATCATTGATATACAATCTTATGAAGGTTTCACACGTGGTTACTACATTCACCCATATTATCAAGTTCCCCCCCCACACACACCCCCATTGCAGTCACTGTCCATCAGCGTAGTAAGATGCAAGAGTCACTACTTGTCTTCTCTGTGCTGTACTGCCTTCCCTGTGAGCCTCCTACATTGGGTGTTAATTATAATGCCCTTTAACCCCTTTCTCCCTCTTTCCTCACCCACACTCTCCAACCCCTGGCCTTTGGTTAATAGCTAATCTCTTCTTGGAGTCTGTGAGTCTGTTTTGTTCCTTCAGTTTTGCTTTGTTCGTATACTCCACAGATGAGTGAAATCATCTGGTACTTATCTTTCTCTGCCTGGCTTATTTCACTGAGCATAATACCCTCTAGCTCCATCCATCTTGTTGCGAATGGTAGGATTTGTTTTTCTTCTATGGCTGAATAATATTCCATTGTGTTTATGTACCACCTCTTCTTCAGCCATTCATCTATTGATGGACACTGAGATTGCTTCCATATCTTGGCTATTTTAAGTAGTACTGCAATAAACATAGGGGTGCATATGTCTTTTTGAATCTGGGGTCTTATTTTCTTTGGGTAAATTCCAAGGAGTGGAATTCCTGGGTCAAATGGTATTTCTATTTTTAGTTTTTTGAGGAACCTCCATACTGCTTTCCACAATGGCTGAACTAATTTACATTCCTACCAACAGTGTAGGAGGATCCCCCTTTCTCTGCATCCTCGCCAGAATTTATTGTTCCTTGTCTTTTGGATGTTGGCCATCCTAACTGGTGTGAGGTAATACCTCACTATGGTTTTAACTTGCATTTCCCTGGCAATTAGCGATGTGGAGCATTTTTTCATGTGCCTGTTGAACATCTGAATTTCTTCTTTGAAGAAGTGTCTGTTCAGATCCTCCACCCATTTTTTAACTGGGTTATTTGTGGTGGTTTGAGTTCTTTATACATTTTGGATGTTAACCCCTTATCGGATATATGTCATTTATGAATATATTCTCCCATACTGTAGGGTGCCTTTTTGTTCTCCTGATGGTGTCCTTTGCTGTACAGAAAATTTTTAGTTTGATGTAGCCCCATTTGTTCATTTTTAATTTTGTTTCCCTTGCAGGAGATGTATTCAGGAAAAAGTTGCTCATGTTTATATTCAAGAGATTTTTGCCCATGTTTTCTTCTATGAGTTTTGTGGTTTCGTGACTTTTATTCAGGTATTTGATCCATTTGGAGTTTACTTTTGCGTATGGAGTTAAGACAATAATCCAGTTTCATTCTCTTACATGTAGCTGTCCAGTTTTGCCAACACCAGCTGTTGAAGAGGCTGTCATTTCCCCACTGTCTATCCATGGCTCCTTTATCGTGTATTAATTGGCCATATATGTGTAGGTTTATATGTGTGGGTTTATATCTGGGCTCTGTATTCTGTTCCATTGGTCTGTTCTTGTGCCAGTACCAAATTGTCTTGATTACTGTGGCTTTGTGGTAGAACTTGAAGATGGGGAGTGTAATCCTCCCAGCTTTATTCTTCCTCCTCAGGATTGTTTTGGCTATTCAGGGTCTTTTGTGGTTCCATATGACTTTTGGAACTATTTGTTCTAGTTTGTTGAAGAATGCTGTTGGTGTTTTGATAGGGATTGCATTGAATCTGTAGATTGCTTTAGGCAGGATGGCCATTTTGACAATATTAATTCTTCCTATCCATGAGCACGGGATGTATTTACATTTACTGGCATCCTCTTTAATTTCTCTCATGAGTGTCTTGTATTAAGTCTTTTACCTCCTTGATTAGGTTTATTCCTAGGTATTTTATTCTTTTTGATGTGACTGTAAATGGAATTGTTTTCCTGATTTCTCTTTCTGCTAGTTCATCGTTGGTATATAGGAATGAAAAGATTTCTGTGTATTGATTTTTGTATCCTGCAACTTTGCTGAATTCAGATATTAGATCTAGTAGTTTTAGAGTGGATTCTTTAGGGTTTTTTATGTACAATATCATGTCATCTGCAAACAGTGACAATTTAACTTCTTCTTTACCAATCTGGATGCCTTTTATTTGTGTTGTCTGACTGCCATGGCTAGGATCCAGCACTATGTTGAATAAAAGTAGGGAGAGTGGGCATCCTCTTAATTCCTAATTCTACCAGAACTCTTAGGAATTTTGGAAGGAAAGTATTGAATATAATCAATTCCATGAGGTAATTTTAGGACCTGGTACCACTGAAGGGCAACTGCTAGCCAACAATTTGAACACCCTCACTTGAATTAATTTTAATCTTCAATAGGAAAATATAGAAAAGGCTTTTATCCTGTTGCAAATAGAAAATTAGTTGTTTTATAATAGTATCTAAGTTGTGTATTAATTTGGTATCTCATCCTAAACCTCCATTAACTTCAAAACTTATTTTCTAAACATTTGGAGCTTGTGTCAGACATTGTTGTGCTTTATAAGTATCAAACTTGTAACTATAAAATATAGATAGGACTCATTTAAAATAAGGAAATATCTTAATAATAATGTTTTTATTTTTTTATTTCCCCCCTCCCATGAACACATGAGCTCCACAAGGACTGGGATTTTGGTCTGTTGTTCACTGCTGTATTATATCCAGTCCCCAAAACAATGTTGATGCAAGAAGTCTGTAATTTAGATTTTAAGTAAAACTGCCCCCCTCTCAACCTAGGCATTCTTCCAGTGAGTTTTTCCTTACTTTTTCTTCATAGCACTTGCCTAGAATACTATAAATTTACATCTTACATGCATACTAGAAAGTAAGTTCCATGAGTTGGTTTTATTTACTGTCTTCAGCTTCAAAGCCAGGACTCAGTAAATATTTGTTCAATCAGTGAAGATTTACTGTCTGTCATCCCTCCTCTCCCTGTTGGAATATATACATACATCAGAAGGGCAGGGACTCTACAGCCATATTCCTAGAACCTTGAAGAGGCACCTAAAAAATATTTTACCTTCTTGATTCTGGTTCTCACTCCAAATATTCTACATAAACCACATCAATACAGCAACATCAAAGTGCCAAAAAGGAAGAATCTATAGAGTAGGTATTGATGCCAAACATCTTTTCTCAGATGTCAGTATTCTTTATTGTATAGTAAAAAAAACAATAAAGGGCTTTCCCATTTCTGAATGTGACCTCAGTCCTCCCACTCCCAATTCATCCCCATGGCTTAAGTTCATCCATGAACAACTCACTCGCACCATCATGATTCTCAGGAGTCCTAATGCCTGCTCAAATTATTCCTCTTACAAAGTTTGCTCCTGACCCCTTGTGAAAATCCTACCCATCTCCAACATCACCTTTCCAGTGAAGCCATCACTATCATTCAACAAATATTTACTAACCATATGCCATACACTGGCATGTATTATGTGATGCCATTTAAGAAAAAGGAAAAAAAATATATAGGAAAAATACAGAGGAGTAAGCATCAAATATGTGCTTTTATAATGTCCTAAATATATACACAGAATGCTCATTTAAAAGGTTTTAAAAATATATTTAGCATTCTCTACTAAATCAAATATATCTAAGAAAGTAGGCTTTTTAAAAAAAGAAAACCTTTTCAAACAATGGCTTTAACTGAAAATCAGGCTAATCGGAACACCTCGAATGTTACTTAGGGTTTCACAGTAAACTAATGCACCTTAATGTCCATCTACTATTAAGGAAAAATAACATTAAACAAATATTTTAGAATAAGTAAATATAGCTCTTAAAAGCCAAATATTCTAAGTAAACCACATCAATACAGCAACATAAAAATGCTGTCCCACACAGTGGGAAGAAATAAGGGTCTATCTGAAGACAGTATGATGCCAGCTCTCAAAACTGTATTTGTATAAGCAGGCTATGAAAACTAAAGTGGGCTTAGAACTGAAATGAAAGTATCGTAATACCTGTGCCAGAGAGAACAGGAATTAGCCAGTCACCATTTGGAACAAACTGCGAAGGTCGACAATACCAGTCAGTTGTAAAATCAATGTTTTACTTAAATTTAATGTAAGAGCTGTATAAAATCTGTGACAACACAGTAGATCCTTGGCATATAACACATGGGAAACGCTAAACACTGAAGAAAGGTTAAATATCAACAGTAAAGAATAACTGATTGACCCCAAACCTGCCCTCCATCTTTGGAACCCTCAAAATGTACTGACTGTGCATACAAACCAATCCATACTTACCTTAAGAGGCTGGGGGCCTCTCAATCCTGCTTGTCCTCCCATCTGGGTAGAGCCTTGCTGCAGTGGCTCAGTCATTAAGTTGCCAGCATTTCCCATGCCTGGGTTTGGGTACTGCATGTTAGGTCGCCCCCGGCCTGCTCCAATTGAACCGTTCATGACTTGATTAGGCAGCATCCCCTGTCCATTGCCTGCATTCAACATTCCAGGATTCATGCCAGCATTCATCCCTGTGTTCATTCCCATGGCAGGTTGATTTACTGGACTGTTCATCATACCTGTTGCAGATGGCGTGGGACCCTGATTTGGTCCACTAGTGCCCATCCCCATGTTGGGAGAAGTCAAGCCTGCCTGTGCCATTGGGCTTTTTACCATGCTATTTATCAAACCTAATCCAGGACTGTTTTGTGGGGCCTGGCTGGCCATACCTTGACCTGGGCCACCAACCCCCATATTGAGGTTTGGGGAACTGCCAGATCGTAGCAATTCTGACAGTTGTTTATGTTTAGAGGCTGCATCTTGTACTATGCCAAGACTTGTCTGAAGCTGACTAATATCACCACCATTGGTTAGTCCCAATTCTGTAGAGTTGATTAATTCATCTGGTAAGTCATGCTCCAAGTCAAATAGAGAGCCAAAATCTAAAAGCAAAGAGGAAAGATAAAGGTTAAAGTTTGACAGAATCAAAGTTACAAACTGCTCTATATTTTGTTCTTGATAAGCATTAAATATCATTTCCAAACCTGACTCCATGGGATACTGTATATTAGCATTGCAGTTTTTCATACTGTACTAAAAAAATGTATTTAAATTGGAGAATATTTGGTTATGTAGTAAGTTTAAACACTTATGAACTGTACCTGACATAAGACCAAGAGAAAGGATTAAATCAGTACAATACCCATTATTACATGAGTTGTTAAAATGATATCAGTCATTTGTTGAAATGTACTGACAATCATGAAAAAAAGATACACAATTAGGTTGTGTAAAATTCCAGAATTCCTTAGAAGAGGTTGAAATAACTCATCTATACACAAACTAAATTTGGAGCGAAACAAAAGATTTAGAACAATAATAAAGACAACTGATACAAGAGACCCGCCACTTGTAAACATTCAGTGTGGGCTGTCTGCCATTCTTTACCCAGTTGCCATTCTTCACCCAGTTACTATCACAATGCCTGCCCTAAAGTTAGGTCCTCAATCTGCTGAGTGACATCGCTTTCACCTAACCACAATCTAGCTGGAAGAGGATACAAAACCATGCTTGTCTAGCTACTTTAACACAAACTACCCACCCTCACAATAACATCCCTGCCAAAATTACAGATTAACTCAGGGTCTCTCAATCTTGGCACTACCAAACATTTTGGGCTGGGTAATTGCCTGTTGTGTGGGAAGGAGTGCACTGTAAGATACTCAGCAGATCCCTATCTCTGTTCTCAATGTCAGTAGTATCCCTACGCCATTTGTGACAACCAAAAATGTCTCCAGATATCACCAAATGTATGTATGAAGATGGAAGGAAAAAATAACAAACTAACGTAAATGCCATAACAAATCTTTCTAACAATGGGTTTTGGTATTGACTGACCAGCCTTGATTTCATGCCTACTACTAAACTCCTCAGGTTCTTCCTTCAGGAAAGGGAAAAATAAAGGTTCAAATAAATCTTCTCAGATCCCAACTTTCAGAGGGATTAGTTCAGATGAGCTGAATAAAATTCAATGTTCAACAAACAAAGAAGCAACCTAGAGAGTCCTGTAACCTAACTAAAAAGTTTGGGATTTTTATTCTAGAGAGAAACGTGACCTACTGAAGAACTTCATGCAGAAACATAATATGAATAAATCTGCATTTATTAGAGCCAACTCAGGTAACAGGGATGAAGAATGAATTGGACAGACAAGTCTGGAGTTAGAGAGACTAGTCAGGAGGCTGCTGCTGAAGAAACAACCAAAGCCAGCACCTAAGCCTGCAGCAGAAGTGCTAAGGGGGAAGAGACATCAAAGAGCCAATTAAAAGAACTCAGATCCCAATGCAAACACAAGAACTCAGATCTTTCGGACTATAGGTAGAGAATTAAGGGAAAAGAAAAAAAGGATGATTCCTAAGTTTTAGACCTGGACGACCTAAGATCCAAGTGATAAACCTCTATCCAGATGGGTAGAGAGAAATGCATAGCGTTGTGAAAGAGAAATGTGGAGGTTAAGTCACCATTAGACATTAAGGGGACCACTGGAAATGCCAGCATTTAAGAGACAATAATCTTAACCAGTAAAGGATGCTAAAACCCAACATCAGCCTATCCATCAGAAATACTGTCCTGGGAACCAGGTTCCAAGAAGGAAATGTTAGTGGAGTCTCACGCTCAGAGAGAGGTCACTAAATGTAATTAGGAATTATTTAGTAATCTAGGTAAGAGCAGTTTAGTGGAGCTATAAAGAGAAATGCAGGCGACTGAGTAGGAGGTAAGAAAGCAAAAGACACGAAAAATTTTTTCTAGATATAAAAGTGAATTCCTAGATATTTAACCTGCTTACTCCCTTCTCCTGGATTATAAATTTATAAATCTGAAATGTATTCCATCATCTGTGAACTATCCTGTGGTATATTTATGGAACAGTATTGCAAACAATTGTTGAAATGAATGAATTCACACTACCCTCACTAAGACATTTTCTGCTTACTTTCTAAAATATCAATCAACATTACCAGCAGGCTACCTCTACCAAATAGTCTGTCTTTTTCTCATATACATTTAATGTAGCTCAAATACAAAATGACTTTGAGTAAAACGTTTCTTCATCTGAGTGTACATTCAGTCCAAACATAGAGATGCAGAATGTGAAATACAGGACAGACTTAAATCTGATTTGAAAAGTTTAGCATAATCCATGAGGTTTAAATGTGACAAACAGAAATGAATCTGGACTGATCATGCAGGAAATTAGTGTTGAGTCAAAACATCCTTTTATCATTACACTCTGATTCTGTAGGTCTCCCTTGCCATCTTCTATATTGCTGTGGCCCTCACAGAATTAGCTTTATAATCTCTTGTAAAATCAGTACTCAGACCACTTAGACTTTCCCAAAATCAGAAGATCAAGACAATTCCATGTCATGTGAGAAATTAGACAAATATCGCTCACCATGAAATACATAAATGAAGCATAACTTTCAAAAGAAGGATCATTAACAACATAATCCCAAATACTGCATTGTCTGTGATCATAAATAAAAGATTTAAGTTACTAACTTGGATGCAAAACTTAAAATAGAAATAATTTGGGCTCAAAATCTAATTCTACTGCATAATACTATTTCTTCCTTCCATTTACATTTTTGTTTTCTCCTTAGAAGGTCAAACATTACTTGTTGAATAAACAGGCTACTTTCTGTATTTCAGGTAATCTGAAGTCAAAATAAAAACTCACTTCTGCCCTCCCACTGTGTACACTAAGCCAAATACCGACACTAATTATTCTGAAAGTAGTCAATTGTCAAGTACCCACTTAGAAGACAGAACCCATCCGTTGAGTCTCCTCCTTTCAGTTTTCTTTGTGGCCTTAAAATGCTTTTTAAAAAATGAACATTCCAGATCTCAAAACTTTTCTTTTACCTAACCCAGTGGTGAGGCCAGAGTTAGATAAGAAGGAGCTGGACAGGTAAAGAGTAGAGAGAGAAAATAGAATGTGAACAACCTAAAAATCAACCAGTTCAGCAACTGAAAGAATTCAGAGAAGGGGCAGCCAAGTGATGAAGTAATTAGAGATCAGAACACTCAGAGCCCCTAGCCTAGGGGAGGGATTTAGGATTAAAAAAGTAAGGATAGATATGGAAGTCAAGCCTACATGACTTTAATGATTCTGGTAACAGTTCTGCTGCGACACTGAAACCATCAATCTCATAAAGATCCCAGGCTCATGGATTGGGGGCACTCCTGCTCTTACACTAAACTCGGCGGTGCTGGGTGCTTAAGAAGCAAGACGTTTTAAAACACCTTGGCCTTTTGCAATTTTGCAAATTTCATGAATTTACTAGGTTAAAACAACTTTCCTAACCTCCACTCAATACTCCACTATTAAAAAATAGTTAATGGAGCACTGACTCCCCTATACAGAATTTTATTGTTAACAACCATTTGATCAATAAATAGGAGAGATACCCTCACACAGAAAAAAAGTACACACTTTCAATTGTAAAATAAGTAAGTAACCAGGATGTAATGTATAGCATAAGGAATATAGTCAAAATATTGTAACAACTTGGTATGGTGATAGCTGGTACCTAGAATTATCATGTATATAAATGTTGAATCACTGTGTTGTACACCTGAAACTAATGTAATACTGTGTGTCAACTACCCTTCAATAAAAAATAATCATCTAAAAAAAAATAGTTAATACCTATAGATGAAGCAGAATTAATCTAATTATAAACAACCCATCTATCAAAGGAAAGACACACAAACACTTAAAACTACTTAATTTGAAGGAACACTAAGAAAATGCAACATCCATGCTGGAAAAACATGTTAAGACTTCTAAGATTTTTTCCAAAACAACTGGAAATGACCTGGGTTATGTACAAATTTGGATCAAAGATGAGAATCAATATAAACTTATACCAGATCACAGAGCTGTGCATGTCAGCAGCTGTTGCATTTTGAAATCCTAGAGGCAAAAGGCAAAAGGGCAGGCCAATTTCAAAATATGTACCCTTAACATTGTCCTGCAACCATGATACCAAAAGGTGTACCTCTATTCTGGAAAGCAACTGACTCAAGTTGATTCTTAATCTCAACCCATTTAAAGTTCGGGTCTCAAAATGTAAACAGAGAAGGCTGTAACTGATAAAGAATGTGACCTGAGGCCACTTCTAGAAGTTTTATATTGACTATCTATCTGCCTTGGTCTTTCTCAGTTTATTAACATAGTGACACTTCTTAGTGTGAGGTTAATTAAAAGATGAAGACATTATTATTTATTAAAACCCCACCTTAAGTTAGCATGTAGAACTAAATGAAGGAATTTCCCATCACTATCCAATCAGCTTGATGGAAATAAATTTGAGCATAAAATTTGGCATGAAAAACAAAAAGAAAAGGCTTCCGGCTTTGTTTGGGACCCACTCTTTTCACCTGCAAATAAGTCCATTCTAAAATTCCTTGAAGGAATAATCTTACCAGCTATATTCTTGGAAAACACAGCTATAAAACCAGAGATACAGAAAAAAGAAGGAAAGCAAACAGTTGCAAACAATTAAAAATCACTCACGTATTATTCTTTGATCACTGGTCGGATTTACAGACCTTAAGAGTACAAATTAGGAAACTGTTTGGAGTTAAATTATCATTTTGATGTAATTTTTAACTTACAGAAAAGTTGCAAGAATAGTACCAAGAATTTCTGAATATACCCTTCTACCAGTTTTCCCAATGTTATAAAAAAAAAACAAACCCACCTTAAGAATCATCTCAACAAAATGTTTGTATTAAACCTAAATTGCACATGAGCTTGGTGTTTGCTCCAAGAAGTACCTACAGGGGATCCTAGATGATGAAGCAATCATACAATCTCTTTAAAAAAAAAGAAAAAGAAGAAGGCCTCTTAAAAACTGAGTAACTATAAAGAAAA